TCGAATTCAAAAATAAAAAATAAAAAACACTATAAATGTACATTACAAAAAAGTAAGTCAAAATGAAAAAAATTATACAAAATAAAACAATAGTAATGTACATTTCAAAAGTCAAAATGAAAATGTAAATATATCAAATTTTTACGCGATTTTTTTGGATATTATCCTTTTCAGACAGGAGACAATTCCGAATTTGTATGAATCGTTAAAATCAGTCCAGCGGTTCTTAAGTTATAAGCGTAGTTACAAACACAACTTTCTTTTATATATAGATTTTGATGATTTTAGCTGCAATATTCACGGGAATTGTTAAAATTTCTTTGCACTTCGTAATGGGTGCTACAGCCTGTACGGTATACGATATTTTTAAAATTTTAACAAAGTTTGTAACGAATTCTATTTTTACACCCTCCACCATACTATGGAGGGTATATTATAATTGTCATTCCATTTGTAACACCTCGAAATATACATTTTAGGCCCCACACAGTATATATACATATTCTTGATCAACATAAAATTCTATGTCGACTTAGCGATGTCCGTCCTTCTGTGGCAATCACTCTAGCATCTGAACGAAATGAAGTAGAATAATAAAATTTTACTCAAATGTATATTAAGTCCGCAAAACTCTTGGTATTGAAAATGGGTCATGTAGATCCACGTCACAAATCGGCGTCTATATATATATATATATATATATATATATATATATATATATATAAATATATATATATATATATATATAGATATAATATATATATATATATATATATATATATATAATATATATATATATATATATATATATATATATATATATATATATATATATATATATATATATATATATATATATATATTATATATATATATATATATATATATATATTATATCTATATATATATATATATATATATATAGACGCCGATTTGTGACGTGGATCTACATGACCCATTTTCAATACCAAGAGTTTTGCGGACTTAATATACATTTGAGTAAAATTTTATTATTCTACTTCATTTCGTTCAGATGCTAGAGTGATTGCCACAGAAGGACGGACATCGCTAAGTCGACATAGAATTTTATGTTGATCAAGAATATGTATATATACTGTGTGGGGCCTAAAATGTATATTTCGAGGTGTTACAAATGGAATGACAATTATAATATACCCTCCATAGTATGGTGGAGGGTGTAAAAATAGAATTCGTTACAAACTTTGTTAAAATTTTAAAAATATCGTATACCGTACAGGCTGAGGCACCCATTAAGAAGTGCAAAGAAATTTTAACAATTCCCGTGAATATTGCAGCTAAAATCATCAAAATCTATATATAAAAGAAAGTTGTGTTTGTAACTACGCTTATAACTTAAGAACCGCTGGACTGATTTTAACGATTCATACAAATTCGGAATTGTCTCCTGTCTGAAAAGGATAATATCCAAAAAAATCGCGTAAAAATTTGATATATTTACATTTTCATTTTGACTTTTGAAATGTACATTACTATTGTTTTATTTTGTATAATTTTTTTTCATTTTGACTTACTTTTTTGTAATGTACATTTATAGTGTTTTTTATTTTTTATTTTTGAATTCGAATATTAATACCAATTTATTTAATAGACTTGATTTACATGGAAGTGTAGTACCGAACTATGTGGTGGCGGAACGGAATAGATGATATCGAAATAACTTAACGCGGTCACACCAAGGTTAAAATTATTACTTTTTCAAAATCGCTAAAAAATCTCGAAAAAGAGATCTCATTGCAAAAATTCTCAAATCGGGAAAATCTAAAAAAAAATCAATGGAATCAAATTTTAAAATAATAGTACATTCTATTGACTATTGTAAGGATCTTTAAACATTTTCCGTAAAAAATCAACGAAAAAGTTGAAGATTTTTTCAATTTGTTATTCTTCTTTTGTCAATTTGTATTATCATATTGAATTCAGTGGATTTTTTTGAACAAAATAAAGAATGATTTTTCACTATACACAATTTTTCACCAAAAAATTAAATAAGTGCGAAATACGATGTTAACTGACATCTACCTTTCAACTCCAGGGCCTACATCGTGGTTCAACTGGAAGATGCGAACACATTGAAACAAACAAAAATGACAGAAAACGCCTAATGGGGCTCATTTCAAAGCGTGGACCTACTTCTTTCATGTGACAATATCCGTGCAATGAGAGCTCAAAATGCAAAATTCTTTGGGAGTACAATCAGTAAAATACCAAATTTAAAGGGTGCAAAATAGTAGAGCGAATGGGACTTTTAGTAAGGAAAGGATTTCTATCCTTCCAAAATTGTTCCCAAACATTCAAAATACCTTAAATCGTTTTGCAGGTCGTGAAATCGATCATAACTCACGGATAAGGGTACAACCCGATTTCTTATTTATGTAACCATCGTATGATTTAAGCTATTTTTGGGGTCTTGGCCATTTGTATAATTTTTTGCCATTATTTGGCATATTTTTTTTAAGGGGTAGAGAACCTCTTCGCATAAAATTTGAAATTTTCAGTAGGGCCCTTATTTGTTTTGACCACATTCTTCAATTGATTTGGCTAAAAAAATGTATTTATGCTACCCTGGGGTAGGAAACCACCATACAGATAATTGCCACATAGGAATTTATTTAAGTAAAGTCCCCACATTGCAGTATCCCCAAGTCCACTTTCATATCTAATGTGTGGTCAGAAAAGAAAATTTTGCATTCTATTGAATTTTTAAACCCCAAGAGAATATTGGTTGGGAACGTAGATTTGGGATGTACATCTATATGAAATAAATTGTGGAAACATGAAAAAATTACAAATATAAGAAAGGAGCACGGGATCGAATATTTGTTGAATCGTCATTGAATTTTACTATGATGAAAAATATGGACTTTATGGGGTCTCCAACTTACAATTTAAATGGGAAATAAAATTAATTCCCATCTTACAGTAATGGGTGTAAAATAGTAATAACATTTGACTATTCTGAAATCATTCTGTCCTCAATTATGAGGTGGATAAAACTATTTTTACTTATTTAAATCACGCGAAATTTTTTCAGTTTGACATAGTATGTTGTTCTGCTGTATTTTTGATTTGGCCTCTATTTGTCATCTTGGATTATAAGAGGTAGATGAAAGTTTTCAATGTAGGTTGATATTTCGGAGTAGTGTCCATATAAAGGCACCTCCTGATTTTACCATATTTCAAAGGATTTAAAAATGGGGGGTGAAAATCTTACACAAAAATTTCAACATATCTACAAATTTTAGAATTTTCTCCATGTAATAGTACCCCCTTATGTCCACCTTTAAGCGGACAAACAGACCGACCTGATAAGGGGACTTATGAGGACTCTAATGCACAATCTGAGATGCTAATGGGTTTAAGAAGTAATTAACTTTGGCTATTCCTAAATCATTCAGCCTCAATTATGAGGTGTGCTAAATACAGTAAATTCCAAATTACTGTTCATTTGACTGGAAAATTTTTCTACGATTTTTACCATATTAAAAATTAATTTGATCCCTTACATGGGGATAAGATTGATACCTACTTTTTAATAGATTTGAATAGCACATCCACACATTTGAAGCCCACGGTTTAAATATTGGAGCCCACTGCTTAAATATGGTTATAGGTATTTTAAAACACTTTTAATGACCAGTACGTGAACACTTATATCAATCATATCTGTGAATAATTGTGCTTTGACAAATATGTATAATAGACAAAAACTACGGGCCGGCAACGCGGACCGGTCCAGCTAGTACTGAATAAAGGGAGATACCGATATTTATTGGCTATACGATGACCTGCTTACACCATTTTCTGTCATAGACTGTAGTACCTTTTAGGACATTCAAACACGAAATACGAAACAATTTCGGTGAATAATGTCGCTAAAATCATTAAAATTCCGAATATAGGGAGGTACCGCCATATGGTTGCTATACGAAGACGTGGATCTGCATAGCCAATTTTCGGTCACAGACTGTAGTACCCATTACGAACTATCATAACAAAATTTGAAACAGTTCCGATGAACAATGCCGCCAAAAACATTAAAATGCCGAATATAGGGAGGTATAGTTATTGGGGGCTATAACTAAACGTGGATTTATACAGCTCATTTTCAATACCAAAAGTCCTGCAGACTAAACACACAACAAACGGAATGACAAACTAAATAAATATAAAAACAACACCAATTGATGATAATCGTTAGATGCTCAAATATGGCTTCCATATACAGGGTGAGATGAAAAAAACTGCAACCAACTTCAGACTGCTGTCATTTCTAAGCCACTCGTCCGACAACTGTTAAGCTTTTTCCAGTGATAGCTCATTATATTGTTTACAAGCGTACAAAAGCATTTTGGTGAGAATTTTCCAGAAAAAAAGTTATTCGTGATATTCCATCGCAAGCGTAATAGTGTGTTTTCTTTATATTTAGCTGGAAAACCAAAAGTGGCTATCGTTAGAGCACTCCAGCATTTAAATGAGAATAAATCTTTCGTGTCTCGTACCATCACTCGTTACCGTGATACTGGTAGCGTAGCCCGACGTCAAGGAAGTTGACGGAAGAAAACAGCAACATCAGCAGAAATGGTTTGAAAAGTAAATAAGCGACTTGATCGAAACCCGCGTCGCAGTGGCCGAAAGTGGTGAACTGCCGAATTTAGTTTTTTTCGATGAGAAAATATTCGTTGTCCAGCAGTTTGTAAATAAACAAAATGATCGTGTTTACTTGCCCGACTTTTGATCTTTCTTTACTGGTATTATTATTAATGTATATATTATTTATTTCAGGAACTTATTTCAGATACTTTTTACTTAAGGTTGTAACTATATTCTTTTTTAGTGTAGGAGAAAATTATATCCCAGAAGACGAACCCGAATGGACTATAGTTCTGCGTCGAGAAGATCGAAAGTGGGCGGAATATAAAAAGGGTTTTGGCAATGCAAATTCAGAGTTCTTTATCGGAATGGATGCTTTACACAACCTTACTTCAGATGGCCTGCAGCACGAAATTGTTATAACTTTAAAAGACTTCGATAATGTTCAGACATATGCCAGATACGATAACATTGTCATCGGCAGTGAGGACGAGCAATATACTCTGAAGACGTTGGGTGTTTATAGCGGCAATGCAGAAGATGCATTGAGACATAATGTGGATGAGAATTTTACAACCCTCGATCGAGATAATGATAAGCACCTGATGAATAACTGTGCTCAAATCTTCAGTGGACCATGGTGGTATTTCCAATGTAATCCTGGTAGCCAGCTCTTTGGACCATACAACAGTGAGCGCTATAACAAAAGAATTCGATGGAGTCTTGAAAAGGATAACAACGTCAAATTTGTTGAAGTAAAAATGAAACATACAGGTCCAAAAATAATGTAGAACATGCCGAACATATATTAACCCTCAGAATTTGACTATTTGATTATGAATACTCCTTCTGGTGGATGTACCATCTAATTACACCTACAAATATCAACTTTTATTAAAGTTAGTATTACTTTTGGTTATGTTCATGCGAGATATCGGATTCTGATATTCGAAATAAAAAAATAAAGAAATTTATTTCACATTTTATTAAGAGTTACCATTATGTAAATTTTTTTGATTTTTTTTTCAAGTAATATTACTACTGGCCAAGTTTACGAAACATCGGATACTTAATTTTTATACCCCACAACACTATGTGTTGGGGGTATTAAAAGTTTGATTGGGCGAAAAATTATGTGACACCTTGATATATTGATTTCCCACATATGAAAGTATATACGGATCTTCTTATCTCGCCGAGCTGAGTCGATCTAGCTATATATGTCCGTCCGTCCGTCCGTCTGTCCATGTTAATTTGTAATCACTCTACAGGTCGCAATTATGACCCGATCTTCACGAAATTTAGAATGGAGGTAGGGCTAGAGCAAAAAGCTATTGCTTTTGGAGATAATCGCATAACATTTAGTTGAAATGGACCAAAAACTTAAAAATGTCCTTATTTTCAGTTGCTCTACAGATCGCAATTATAGACCAATCGAAGCGGAAGTTAGCATGGGGCTAGAGCTTAGGGCTTGGCAGAAGCCCATGGTCATTGGGTAATATTTAGTGGGTAATATAGACCATAACATTTGTGTTAAATAAAAGTCAAATTTTTAAATATTTTTAATCCCGTCGAAATCACAAGTAGACGAACAGTTCAATTCTGACCGTTACGTAGATGCCGATAGTAAATATATCGTAAATATATAACGAAATATATACAATGTATGTATACAGAGGAATTTTGTGAATTCAGAATTCCATTTTAGCATAAAAGTATAAATCTAAAAAAAAAATTGCATAAACGGATGTATTTTCTGACATTTTTTTTATTTTTTCATATTTTATATAGCATGCGATTTTTAAATTTGACTTATAATATTTATATGTATATTTTGTAATATTTTTTCACCTTACAACACAGGTTGGGATTATTATATACAGATTAAAATTATCGTCCGATCCTCAGTAGGGTGGGGTTAGAAGGGCTAGACCTATTGTTTACAATGTCCGCAATATGTTTAGGGGTTGAAATGGATCAACAACTAAAAATGTTCCTGATTTTGCAGCTGTTATAAAAGTCACAGAAACCAAAGGACACGATACCTCGATTAGAATGGACTACTACTTTTGTGTGAAAAAATACCAACAGTACTTACAGGCGATATCCGAAACACACAAAATGCGAACTTCTGGCTTTTTATACCCTCCACCATGGTATGGAGGGTATAAAAAGCCAGACACCTCGAAATATACGTTTTAGACCCCACAAAATATATATTATATATTATATTATATATATTGATCAGCACAAAATTCTATGTCGATTTAGCGTTGTCCGTCGGTCTGTCCGTCTATCCCTCTTTAAATCTGTGGAAATCACTCTAGCTTCTGAACGAAATGAAGTAGTTTAATAAAAATTTACTCAAATAAATGTTATGTCTGCAATGGGCCATGTAGGTCCACGTTTTGATATAGCCCCCATATAACGGTACCTCTCGATATTTGGTATTTTAATGGTTTTAGCGACATTATTTCCTCCGTCCGTGTGTGCATGTATTTTTAAAAACAAAGTACAGGTCGCATACAAATTAGGCCTGAAAATAAGTATGCCACATTTAATCGAAATCGGTTCAGATATAGCTATAGCTTCCATATATATGTTTCTTCCGATTTGGGTTTTAAGTCCCTCACATGCGTAATAAGCATTCGACAACAATGATATTTGGTACCAGTTATCAGATACATCCCCGATATATCTCTGCTAAATATTATCAAGATCGGTTCAGATTTGGATATAGGTCTCATAAATATCATCAACCGATTTCGTGTTAATTTTGCACCATCTTGACAGATGTCCTGAATTTTGGTACATCCAACAGGATTCAGTCTAGAAACAAGTAACCCAAATTTGGAGAAAATTGGTTCAGATATAGCTATAGCTTCCATATATATCCTTAATCCGATTTCAAGTTTAATAATCCTCCTTCTTCGACAGTTTTTGAAATTTTCTAATTAACATTCCTCGGAATCCGTTTATTTTACGTATATGTATTGTGTCTTGGACAATATTGCATATTAAAAACACGACGATTATTTTGGTCAGCTATTTTTACCAACAAAATTGTATTTTTGGTCCTTTTTAAAAAAGTGACGCAGAAATATATTTTACACTATTTCAATATACATAAATGTATATAAAGTCCTAAAAAATCTTTAGAAGGTCCGAAAATGTTAATTTTGTATTTAAGTATAGAATCTTTTATTTCATAATCACTTATATAAAACATGACTAAGATAATCATTATTGCTAAATGTATTTTTATTTTGTTTTCTATGCAATTAAATTGGTTCCTGCATATATCCGCTCCTATCATTAGTGAGAAATCAAAAATATTCTACTGCTTCTCTCTTCTCTCTTCACTTTCACTTTTGACTAATTAGACAATGATAGTGATTTAAGAGAATGTGATTAGTTTGAAACATCACCCAGAAATACAATTGTATATGAATTTATTGATAAAGTTTCGATTTATTTCAGATATGAAGATAAATTACCAGCTGCATTTTACCAACTGAAAAAGCAACAGAATATTTATCTTTTAACAAATTTCAGTTACTTTCAGATCTCTCCCCTATGGCCGCTACTTGTGTCTATGTCGATTTTAAAAATTTATCGAATTTTTATCCACTGAGAAAAATAATCTGATTGAGGAACTGTGTCTGAAATCTCCAAAATTCCGATATTATGCGGACTAATCTTGGACATTTTTGCAGAGAGATTACCCCACTGTGAGTGGGATTATGAGCACATGCAAAATTCAGTGACAGTATATTTACGCCCTTAATCGTTCTGATGAGAATTCAGAAATATTTAATATTTAGTATATAATTTCAATATAATATTTAATAATAAGTAAAACTGGCATCAATAAAACGGAAATGTTGGTATGCCACTCACAAAATGCTGGGAGTCCATCCGTAAAAAAGCACCCTATTACCATCCATGCAGGAACAAATAAAACTGATTATTTTCGGTTCTACTTTTAATTTATTTTTTATGAATAATTGTAATAATTAATTTCTTCCTTATCATTTCTAATTCGTTCTTTATCTAATGATAGTAATCGATTCGTCATAAAGGTGGTAATTTCCTCAAGGTTTCGTTGTGCCCAAAGACGTTTTTGATTAACTTCGTCCAAAATTTGCCGCTTACGTTTACTGTGTTTTTCAAATAGCTCGGGGTGCGCGTCCATAAAATTACATAAATTTGAGAGATCATCTGGAGCAAATGCAAAACTGGCTACATTTGAGAGTAAGTGCGGCACACTAAAATCCTTTTGTATTTCGGACGCATTCTCAATTAAATATTTCAATGCTAATGAGGTACCTGCTGGATTGCTTGCTACCGATTCGAAGGCAATCTGGGCAAATACCATTGGTAATTGGAGCTTTTTATTGAAAGCTATGTCCAAAAATTTTGTCAAAACTTTCCTACTTTGAGTGCAAGCCAAAGATTTGAGAATTAATATATCGTGTGGAGCGGTGTTATTAAAAAAGTCCCACAAATAATTCCACTCATTCTCATCGCCATAGCGCATAGTTGTGCAATATACGGGTAATATCCAATCATCAGGGATGGGATTATTGTTGTTAGTTTTCCATTGTTGAAAATATGAAAGGGCAGTGTGGACACAGTCTTGTAGCCCAAAAAAGCAGGCATATTGGATGACTAAAGTTTTGAGATCTTTGAGCTGCAAATCTTTTGTGGAAGAAATTTCAGTCTCATTTTGGCTAATTAAATAGGAGTAAATTGGTTGTAACAAATAATGCATGTAGGCCATCGTGGGCACATGATGTTGAGATAGTTGAGCGACTAAATTGAGATCAGGTCTGATAGCGTGCAATGAGATCAACCATGGCATAGTTTCCCGCTCCCGTCGCTGGTATTCCATTACATTGAGAGCAATCGCGTAGCCAATGTGACCAGAACGGGCACAGTATATGACATCACTGAGTAGTTGAATGCGATTTATTAGCGGAATTTGTTCAAAATTGTCATTTTTCAAAAAGTTGGCTATGAGTTTCCAATTGTAGACATCATAGTTGACTCTGTAAATTGCCATTACTTGAATATTGAATATAACCCACTGATTTTCTGTAATTACATTATAGAGTACAAGAGACTCTCCTCTATCAGAATCATCATTGCATGGCATCCACGCTTTGGGTGTGGTGTCGTTGAAATTTAATTCATTTGCCGTGGTGTATGTTATAGGAACCCACCAACAGCTCGAAGCCCCTGGGCTGGACAAATTGCCAGAACTCCTCGAAAATCTTTGTTGGGAAATTTCAACTGCTCCAGCATATTCAATACGCTTTACAGTGACCACTGGATAACCCGCCTGCAAAGTCCATGAATCCATGATTATTTTCAGTTCATGTTTGTGCTTAATTATCTTGTATTTGAGGGCTGCTGATGCTAAAGAGTCCCACAAATCATCTGCCTGGGCATTACCAAACTGGTGCCTTGCTAAATAGGTTTGTAATCCTCCAAAAAACGCTTCCGAACCCATATACAAATGCAACATTCGAATAGCAGATGAAGCTTTCTGGTAAGTTATGCTATCGAATAGTTTTACAATTTCATCTGAGGTCCTGACATAGTTTGACAGGGGATGACCATTTATTTCAGCATCATATTGAAATACAGTTTTCGCATTAAATATAGAATTCTCCAGATACATATCGCGACCTGGCATAATGTAGTCCATAGCTAAGCTATGGAAATATGTGGCAAAGCCCTCCTTTATCCAGACATCATTCCACCATTTCATTGTTACCAAATTACCAAACCATTGGTGGACTAGTTCATGACTCATTACACTGATAATGACATTTTTAGACCACTCGTAAAGACTATCCGTTTCCAGTCGTAAGATGGATTCCTTTAACGTGATGAGTCCCCAGTTTTCCATGGCACTGCTGCCATATTTGGGTACAGCAACAATATCGATTTTGGGCAAGGGGAATGGTACACCAAACAACTTCTCAAAGTAACCCAATATCTTTGAAGCTATATTTAAGGCGTATGAACATTCAGTAACGTATTCCTCCCGACACCAAGTTCGAAAGACGACATTTGAACCACCACTCTTTGATTCTCTGTATGCAAAATCATTGATGGAAAAAGCCACCAAATAGGTGGACATGGGAAGGGATTCATCAAATACACTCCAGACATAACCATCCGAATTATCCAATGGAAATTGTGAGTGTAAGGGCATATTACTTAAAGCCCTAAGCGAGTGATGGTGACCAAGCCATATTTTGAATTTAGCTTTGTAATTCGGTTCATCCAGACATGGAAACACCGAACGAGCATAGATGGGTTCAAAGTCTGTAAACGATATCCAACGTGTTTGATTTGTCTTTACATCGACATACGAATTATAGAAATATCCCCTTGAGGCTCTGTTAAGATTTCCCGTAAACTCCAAATATAATTCATACCTTCGACCCTTCACTAAGATGCCATCGAAATTAATGTTATAGAAATCCAACTCGGGCAGAGTTTCCACGTTCTCAGCAAATAAGCAAAAATCTTCATCATCTGCAAAGTTTGTCACCTGGATACTGGCTTCGTTTACCACCAGATCTCGTACATGTAATGTAACATTTGTGGTATCCTCCCAAACTTTAAAACGTATCAAGACATCGCCGTGAAACGTTAAATTAGTTGCATTCTCCAGGTGCGTTATAATCTTCAGTTCATAATAATCCGGCCTGATTGCAGTTGGCAAACGAGGGTCACTTGCTTCGATTTTCCTGATTGAGAAAACCACCAGAATCAATATGAAATATTTCATTTTCATTACATTAGATCAATATTACTTTCTATTCACTTCGTAATGAAACACGAAACCTCATCATTTCACAGACACTTCTGTCTTCCCAATTAAACTCACAAACTATTTTAACAAAACAATTTGCAAAACATTGAAAGTCTGTTCCAATTCAAAGCAACCTAATCAAAGAAATTGTTTGACCCAAAGTTCGTTTTGTTGGTACACTTGTGTGTTATTTACCGGCAAAACAAAGGTGATAAGAATAAGTCGTGTTTCCCGGCTCATTTGGAAGCCAGAAAAGGGAAACATTAAATCATTGGGAATGCGATATATAATTTTTTATAGTGGTAGGGTATTAAAGTTGTAAAAGGTAAATAGTCCCAACGTCAACACATTATCGACGGTTCTAGATATGACAATTTGGAAGTTAAATAATTAATATGCTGAGAAACTGCAAATTGAGAAGAGATACTAGAAAGTACTTTTATTATATTTTTTTTAGTGCCAAAACAAACACATTCTTATTTTTTATAAAATTTTATATCGTTCTTAGTATCTGCGAATATATAAAGTTTTTTGTAATGTTCTTCATTTGTTTTGGTTTGTTTTTGTACAATACACATTGGACTTGCCTTACACCCAAAATGGAATTTTGGGTACTTTATTCATATTTTTATACTTTGGTGTTCGTAAGTTTTGGCGTAGATAAAAATACACAAATTAAAAAAAGGAAAAATAATCATTTGCAAAAACAATTAAAAATTCTCTTCACCAAGTAATGGGTCTATCAAGTACATTTTGACGCCTGTAACTGCTTACATCATTATTTTAACATGAGCATTTAATAGAAAATAATAAAGAAGCATCATTAAGAGAATTTCCTGATCTTACCCTTAAACCATAAGAGGTTTAAACCATAAGAGATTATAAAAATACATGCCTGTATGACAGTCATAGGAATCAGAGTACCACTTAATGATTTTAGTCAAAATTTTAAATTAAATAAAAATTTGATATTTTGGGTTTTTAAATTTGATATTTAAAGTCTCCAGTGGAAGATAATTGTCTATTTAGCTCCAGGCTTATTGGTCTGCTTTCCTATGGCAAAACATTATTTATGTGGGTCCAAGTTTTCCTAGAGCTAACAAATACCAGTACCTCAAAGCATTCAAGATTGAGACAGATTTTTCTTCGGAAGGGTTTCATACTTGATATCAAATATTTAAAATTGATACCTATCACTGCAGAAGACAACTGTCTATATAGGTAAGAAAGAATAAAAGTAGGGCGGGTCGACTTCATGGTATCCTACACTATGTATATTTAGTAGAGGTACTTGTAACAAATAAACGTTTATATTGGAAATTTATGAGACCGTTATTGATTACGTGCAAGGGCTATAAAACGGTCTAAATTTAAAATTCGATGGAACAAATGCATGGAAGCTATATCTGAGTTTTAATCTAGGAAGTATATTTATGCCATATGTACCAAATATCATTATCATAAGGTGCATGTAGCGACTCCGAGTCTTCAAGTTAAAATAGGATGAAACACATATACGGGAGACATAGCTATAACTGAACCAATTTTTACTAAATTTGCATATTTGCTTGAAAAAATGCATAAATCAATTCAGAATATCCAAAGGAACTCGGGGTCTATCACGTTTTCTACTGCTTGTTACAAACATATGACATAATATCCTATACCATAGTGTGGTGTAGGGCGTAAAAATTAAGTCATAATTTGTTCCATTAATTTATAAGGGGTTCTAATTTTGTATATAAAAAAATTTAGAACTTTACTCCAAGAGAAGAAGTTTTTTTCAAGTAATACTCTGCTTAAAAATTAACAATTAAAAACATTAAGTTCGGCCGGGCCTAACTTTTAACACCCTCCACCATTGGGAAAAGAAAACGTGTTCCACTATAAGCTACAAATACTAGTAAGGCCATTTGGATAATGCTGTTAAACTTTTCAAAAAACAATATCCGGAGGTACCATTATGTGGGGGATATACGAAAACATGGACCTATACCTACTATGTTCCGCAACAGCAGCTAGAATTTTTCTATCAAATTTTGAAGTTCTTTGTAAAATAATGTGGGCTGTATCGTGATTTCAACAGACTGTCGTCGTTAAATCGACTTATAATTTTATGCTGATCATGAATATATATGCTTTATAGTATCTGCAACGAATATTAAGGGATGTTACAAACGAAATTACAAAGTTGATATACCCTCCTTTTCAAGGTGGAATGTGTAAAAAACCAAAAAACCGTCGAAATAAAAAATGAAAAACACTAAGTTTGAATTAACAGACACTTATTATGCCTTTTATGCTATTCATCACCGAAAATTATTACATTTTTATTCAAGGTTCTAGCTTCCTTTAGATCGGTTGCTCAAATTTTATAGATTCAACAACTTTATTTGAAGGATTTACTGAAAGATGATAACATACTAGTGAAATGTTAAAAATGAGATTATCTGAGAAAAAGTTTGACATTGGAGAATCTTGTTTTAAACATTTCATTGCCTACACGAGTATTTAAATAAAAAGTTAACGAACAGACCTATTTCCAGGTAACTTTTCCGCAATGTATTACTTAATAAACAATAATAAATTAGTCTAATAATAGCTTTAAAGTGTGTTTATAAAACAATCGTTTCAAGACCCACATGTAAACATTTCAAACAACAAATTAATATTATTATTTTATTCGTAATTCTTATCGCTACAGGGCTCAAGCTTCACATTCATTTTGATATTCTAATCTCACTTGTAGTGTTCAAATATTTAAATGTTTGTGTTGGTTTAGAATTACCTACGATAACCCCAAGTGCTTATAACACTGCGCAACAATATTTTGTGCCGTAGAATATTTAATTTGGAAATGATAGAGTTTGCTATGTATGTTAAAACCCCAAAAGTAAGCTTTTTCCCAAAAGGTGAGAATACACATACGAATTTTTGTCTAGCTTTTTCGTGAAGGAAAAAGAAATTAGGATGACTTAGTTTTAATTGTGGACCGAAATTGAACCAACTTAAAATTTTTTTGAATCTTTTACAAAAAGGAAAAAACCAATGACATAAGTTTCCCAGCTAATTGAGTTTAATTAAAAACTCCTCCTTCTACCAACGAATTACGCTAAAGCGTTGCAGTGATATCATAGAATCCTTTCCTGACTAGTAAACGTTGACAAGAGTAGTGCACACAACATTAGGAATCATGGGAGAAAGTTTTTTTTCTCGGATAGGGACTAGGCTGTACGGTATTCTTAAAATCAAAATGGCTTTGTTAAATCCAAAGTCGACATAAACTTTCAAGGTTGGATAATATAATCAGTACTAGCTGAACCCCCTTTAGATTTTTAATGTATTCAAAACTTTGTATACGAATATTTGTGGTTAAAAAACAAGTAAGCAAAGGCTATAGTGGTGCGGGGCCGAACATGTGGTACCCTACAACACTTCAATATGGTAGAAGTACTCTTATGTCCATTAAATCCATTTTGGAAGATTTCGATTTTGAAATTATGTAACGGAACACTGCCCAGATATTACTCTTAGCATTTTGACCAGGGACATTTACCCAATATTTACGCACTTCGTCGTGCTGTTAGTTGTTGTGTTCCATTTCACAGCTAAATATAATCCAATGGTCATCAAAAATGCTAGAACTCTTCCCTGTACTTAACTCTCTCAGGCGTGTCGATTGGCTTCAATTGTGTGATCAGTAAATTGTTTCTGTTTTTGGGTCATTTGAATCCCTAAATATTTAGCGATCATCTCTAAAAGCAAAAGACCCCTCTGTATCTCCAAATTTAGACTCATCTATATATGATTTATTTGTTTACGATATTTGGCTATATTCGTCAATCAGCATAAAAATGCCAGAAGTTCGCTATTTGTGTATTTTATCGCATGCGGTAAAAAATAAAAAAAATTCACAAAATCCTACAAGGTCTATATTAACATCATTATTGGCATCATTTTATGCGATTTTTTTAGATTTCATACTTTTATGCCAAGAGGACATTTGTAATTTCGCCGGGATTAAAAATTTTCGCGGTTTAATGGAAATTTTGATTTTTTTTATCACAAATGTTATGGTCTATTTCACCCACTAAATATTACCCGATGACCATCAAAATTTGAAGGCTCCTGCCCAGCTCAAAGCTCTAGCCCCATCCTAACTTCGGTTTCGATTGGTCTATAATTGTGACCTATAGAGCAATTGCAATATCAGGAAATTGTTCAGTTTTTGGTATATTTCAAACCCTAAATATAATCCCCACCTCCATTCTAAATTTCGTGAAGATTGGGCCTTAATTGCTACCTGTAGAGTGAATACAAATTGACATGGACAGACGGACGGACGGACATATTTAGCTAGATCGACTCAGCTCGGAGAGATAGGAAGATCCATATATACCAATATTTCGAGGTGTTACATATTTTCTGGCCCAATGAAACTTATAATTTTGCGCAACCTTTTTTGTGAAATAAAAACATTATTGAATCCATTTCGAATTAAAAAAAAAAACAACAATAAAATTCACACAACAACAACAAATTTATTCAAAAGAGTAAATAAAAAGCATATTTCATGCGTCAAAAGAAAGTTTACAGTAAACAAAAAACAAAGAAAGGCAAAAAATTAGTATTTTGTGTGTTTTCCTTTTGGGCTAATAACAGCTTGCAATCTTCGTGGCATTGATTCTATCAGTTTCTGTTACTTCGGATGGAATTTTTGACCATTCGTCTATTATAACCGATTTCAACATATCCTTATTCGTAAATGTCCTTTTTCTTATCTGGCGGTCGAGATACTCCCATAAATGCTCTATAGGATTGTGGTCTGGAGATTGTGGGGGATGATCCAACTGTTTGGGTACATGGTACAGCATCCATTCTTTCACAACTTTTGAAGTGTGCTTTGGGTCATTGTCTTGCTGGAAGACCCATGTAGAATCCAAACCCTATTTCTCGAGACTGGGGCGTAAATTATTTTTTAAAATATTTAGGTAGTCTATTTTATTCATAGTGCTTTCGATAAACACCAAATTACCCACTCCGCTCACCGCCATACATCCCCACACGATCACTAAACCCCCGC